AAGAAGAAGAAGAAGGAGCACCGACCGATGGCCCGCGTCGTTCCCCATGGCCCCACGACCGAAGATTGGGCCGGAACACCGTCAGCTGGACTCCTGGCTTTCGGTGAAGAAGGGACAATGACCCAAAAATAAAGGGTGGGACCCCCACCTAGCCAAATGGCCAATTAGAAGTGCAAGACGTTGAGGAAGGGCACGAACATCGGATGGGGGACTGGCGTTTTGGACTGGGTGAGGAGAAATCAACTCATGTTACATGAATACGAAGACCGGCCAGGTATACACTCCTGCTGAAACATGGGAAAACTCCCCTTTGCCCCTTTGTAAAGGAAACTGGTCTTCTTGGATACCCTTTTCCCAGCCTCTGTCAGGGAGTCAAACGTTTGTACTTCTATACTATGTACGTATACGGCACATCCCCTCCTACTTCTCCTTACGTGCCATCCAGTTCAACACCGATGAACAGGCTCAACAGGGGTCGAAGCTATAAGAAAACAGCTGTCCTTCCGATCAATCACCTGCCAGTTCACATGAAAATCATCTGCACCCCCAACATCCGCGCGCAAAATGTTCTCCCCCCACCAAGAAAACCTGCGGCTCGGGTGGGAAAACATCTGTCTGACCCCCTTGAGCAGCAACCTAAGGATGGAAACAAAAGAATCCATTCAAGTTCCCACTCAGAATCTTCATTTGAGGGGTCTTGCATTTCCGCTTCTGGCCATTCGCGCCTCGGAGGTTCCCCATCGTGGGCGCACCTCGGCCTGGGAGGGGCGTCGACAGGTTAGAGCCCAAGATTCACCATGTTGGTATCATGTACAAGTATATGGTTGATTGATCAAAAAGTCAAAACCCATCCAAAAAAAGGGAAGGTACTCTCCCACAAACTAACATGGAACCCGAGAATTATATAACCGGTGGAAGACCATTTCCCTCTACAACCCAATGGTTTTGGGGTTCCATGTTAATCTGCAGGGGGGTACTTCTCTTGAATCACATCTGTGTCCCAATCCTTGTGTACAATGGTGGACAATTCTCGAATACATCGAGAGAGGTGCGCCAATTCTCGCCCATTCTCGCGCCTTGAAATTGCCATTGAGGAGGTGCGGTTGGACAATATCCTCAGGACAAGGAGTTAGATAGGACAGAATTTGAGCAGAAAAAATGACGTGCTTGACGAAAATTGCTTAATAGAAAAAGTCGTCAAACAATATTCACCATACCCAGTATATCTTTGATCCAATCATGATGGTCTATCACGGCTCAGCAAAATGTTTGGCGGCCACCCTGCCTTCTGTTGGAGCAGTAGCGGTCTGGTGCACCATGTACGGCTGCAAGTACATGCCTGTGCCATACGGGACTCGCTGCAAAACGAACGACATCAAATTGTGCCTAGGCGTTGGGCCCAATAGGCTGTATGAATGTCCAGATCCATCTGGAAGCAGCACTAAGACATTATAAGAGTTGTCAGTGTGAGGAAAGAATCTGCAGCGCTTGCAGTTTTCTTCCCCACCAGTTTGGGCAAAACAAACTTTCCTGCATCGTCAGAAAGATCACGCACGTCTCACCTAATCATCAACAGGGGATGGCCCTCAAAACCCAAGCACGAGCAAAGAAAATCTCAGTTGTGCGCAGCATCAACGACTCAGCACCTCGCAAATTGAGATCCTATCCAAATCTGTAACATGGCATAGATGCATTCAAACAAAAAAACACCTGTGATGTGAAGTGTCTACCATCCACACCAAACTGGGCAAAAATTGCGTCACGCCAAACCTTCTACACGAAACACCAGCTTCTCCGAGTCGGTTGGAGGTCGACTGAACCAGCTGCCGCCAAATGATTGTTCAAGCATCAACCAGAAACAAAGTGCTGCAGTTTTAAGGGGGTTCGGAGTCCAAAGACCGTCCCAAATGCGAGGTGTTCTTCTTAGGGATTGAAAGTACAGTACTTGCATGGTAACAAAGTTAAAATAAATAGGATTATTCTTAGTTGTTCGATCATACAAAAAAATGCTTGTATAATGTTTACATATGCTTGACTCTTCACGCAAAAATCACAATCCATGCAGCCGAATCTGTTCATCTCTTTGCTTTGGAACTTGGAAGCACGATCTTTCTCGGATGTGAAGAATGAACACTTCCCAGCACACTCCTCCCAGCACGCTTGGCTTCGTTCAAGGATTGACAACGGAGTCCGATGTCAACCACGGAGTCCGAACACCTTGGATCCAGCAGCGCTCCATGACTCGAATGGCTGTTTCCTCCAGGACTGGATGGGCCTCAAAACCAATCCTTCGTCCAAAGAGCTACGCCAGCATAGAGCCCAGATAGCCAGATAGCAACAAAATAGCCAGATGGGCTGCACCCTGCAGCACAACCTGCAGCGCCCTTCCTTCCTTCCCTTCCTTCCTTCCTTCCTTCCGTCCCTCCCTCCCTCCCTCCGTCCGTCCGTCCTTCCTTCCTTCCTTCCCTCCTTCCTTCCTTCCTTCCTGTCCTCACTACTTTGCGCCTTCCCACTCTAATTGTCAGTGTGCGCCGTCTACTCTCTCTCCACAAGTAGAGATGTCATCTGAAGCATCTTCGAAACCCTATGACACTATGAGGGGGGGTTGAACCAGGACGGGCACAACACCTCTACCTGCAAAACGCTCCAAAAACCAACGCGATCTACTAAGACCGTGAAAAATTGTGTCTTTTTCCCCGATCGGACGCTCACGGACACCGATTCCGTTCCGTATTGAAAAAAATGCATCCATGTACGGGGCTAGGTTTGGCCAGAATAGATGGCATCGCCACCCCCCAAAGTGCACGTTTGTGTGCCATGTATTTGCCAACTAGAGGGTGTAGTATTAGCTGTTGTAATCTATGTGTGTTTTCTGCTGTATATGAGCGATGGAATTTATTTCCGTTAAACTATCACACTATAGAAAAGGAACGCCCCTAGACTAATCTTCACTACCGCAAATAAAAGCCGTTGCTCATATGTTTCACTTTGTTGCTTTGGCTGCTGTTGCTGTTGTCCACTGCCACTGCCACCCTGCCACCACCTTTCTTGAACTTCCCGCGGAACGAACCGCGCCTCCATCCGGTGAAGGCACCGATCTTTGCGAGGAACCTCCGGCTCCAGAGATCGGTGAGTGTGGCGGGTCCGGACCGGGCTCGGTCCGGCCATGACCGGACCGATGGATCAGGCGAGATCGTGGGCGAGATCCAGGTAGATTGCGTATTTGGGTTGGGAAATTCTGCCCCCAAAATGAGGTGTTCCTCTGTCTCAAATTGGAAACGCCCCCAAAAAGCCGAAAAGAGGACGTTTCGGATGAAACAACAAGGACTCGTGTGCTCCGGACCAAAGGACTCGACCGGTTGAGCCACACCGTTGTCTCCGTCTTTCGCGATGGTCTTCAAGGTCTGGGACCTTGCAAACCGATCTACACTCCAACAAACGTTCCATGGAAGTGGATCATTCTCCTCAGCAAAACGGTTTTTCTTCACTGCCCAGGGAGGCAGCATTTTTTTGGCGCAATTGCCTTATAAGATTTGGTTCTCAAGGTATTGCACCGGCCCATTCACACTTGGCACACCCAAGTGCGTCACCCTGGCGGGAGAACTTCGCGTCTTCAGGGTTCCTCGCTGCTTTGATGCGTCTGACGCACCTGAAAAATACACACCCTTCATATTATAACACGATATACCATGCATGTTTGTAATCTAATCTTCAGGAAACCCCACTACACACACACTCCCCCTCCCAACCAACCCTGTAAAA